TCTCTCCCCCTCTCTCTCTCTCTCCCTCTCTCTCTCTCTCTCTCTGTCTGTCTTTCAATTTGTCTTCCTTCCTCCCTCCCTCCCTCCACCTCTCTCTCTCTCACCTGTAAATATATGGGAAAGGTGTCCGCTCAAATTACATATCCGGATCAGAGATCCTTTCTCCCCCGCAATCTTCCCGTTATTACAGCGCATGTACAATGTTATGGTGTATGAAATATGACAACATATTCCGGTTATAATTTAATAATAATAATACTAGATAAAATGTGTATAGCGCCAACTCCCACTCACCAGCAAGCTGTATGCCCTTGTTATGTTGTACCCTCAGCCCAAGCGTAGCCTCCCCCCCCCCCTCTCTCTGTCTAAGATATACAGCATACTCTTGCAACACCTCTAATCTTCAACCCTTACATGACCTTATTGTGTTGCAAGTGCAGTAAAACTCTTACTAAAACCAAGTTTAGCCTCACATCTCTAAGATACAATATACTCCTGCAGCACCTTAGCCTTAACGATGGGACAAACGTGTTGGTCTTTCTTTCCCCATCCTTACTGTCATCATTTTTTTCCATTACTTCTTTTGTATGTTTTGCGCGTTCCCTCCTTTGCCCACATCCTCTGTAGTGAATGCGTCTTCCAAGATTACTACTGAGTCCTCCAGCCGTGGGTGGTTGGTGGGTGCCCTGAGATAATTTGCTCCTTCTTTCCTTTCAAACTTCTGTCATCCTCTAAATTATCTCTCCTCCTTCTTTCCTTTCAAACTTCTGTCATCCTCTAAATTATCTCTCCTCCTTCTTTTCTTTGTTTGGCAGGTCAATGTTTTTTTGTGAGGTCGGGAGTTTTTGGGTTTGTTTTTGTTTTTAAATTTCAAAGTGATCCAGTTACGTCCCTTTGGGTGGTTGGAGGATGACACTGGTGGGTTCTATCTATGCAGGGTTCGTACGGGTCTTTGAGAACTCTTGGAATTTTGGAAAATTTTTAGAAAATGTCTTGGAAAAACAAATTTTTAACTAAATCTATTGTAAAAATATTTCCTTGAAGTTTCGAAGGCCTCGACTTTATGCATTCTGAAGTATACCATAATGTATTCTATTTTTGCATGCTGAACGAAATCTTTTTTGCCGAAATGACACGTTATTTGTCTTGGAAAAATGAAATCTGGTCTTGGGGAAAAAATCTCCTGCTCAGTGTGAACCTTATCTTTGCTCTCCCTGCTTTCTTTCTGTCCATTTGTCTTGCTATTTTCAAAAGCTACATTTTAATGAACGGTGCTGTGCTTCTCTTTCTATCCTCAAGCTGTCTTGCCATGCTTTCACTACTTTCACCAGGCATTAATTTAGGGATAGAATGGGTCTTTTATGTTATGTTATGATTATTGTTGTTTTCGATATATTTATTTCCTTTTGTTAGTAGATTGGTGCAAAATTGTGAGGAACTTGTGATCTCTTTGATGTTGCAGTTGATATGACTCATTATGTCATGTGTTTGGTGTAATAAAAATGTAAATTATATGTTGCTAGAGATAAAAATTTTAACATAAATCAAATCTCTGTACTGCCAGATTGTTTATGTCTTTGTCTGCATCTTCAACCTGGACAATACAGAACTGTCACCCACATACCTGTATGTGTTGGTTTTCTTTTTCCTTTTTTTTTTTTTTTTGTGTTGTAATTTTCGTATTCACTGTATGAGTGGGTGGTTGGCGGGGTGTCGGCGGACAGAGAGGGGACTGACCACTGACCAGTGCACTGGGATGGTGGTGGGGTGTCGGCGGACAGAGAGGGGACTGGCCACTGACCAGTGCACTGGGGTGTCGGTGGACAGAGAGGGCACTGACCAGTGCACTGGGGTGTCGGTGGACAGAGAGGGGACTGACCACTGACCAGTGCACTGTGGTGGTGGTGGGGTGGGAGTCGGACCAACAGGGGGCACAAAGTGGAGGTGGCTGGGGTCGGGGTAGAGCTGAGATTGGGAGACGAGGAGGGGAGGAAGATTATGTCTCTCTCTCTTTCTCTCTCTCTCTCTCTCTCTCTCTCTCCCCTCATTATATATACATGTATATCTATATCTATATGGTAGTGTCTACGTTCTCTCACGTTAGAGAACGTATACAAGTTGTATACGTTCTCTAAATGTTAGTAGAGAACCTAAAAATAGCTCGCTCACTCTATCTAACATGGAAACGAGTCGACATTGCTGCTTCCACAGTGCCTACACTTTATTTTCACAAGCTATTAAGTTTACTTTCGCGAAATTAAAATGCTCGGGAAAGTAAAGCTGTCTACAGTACCGCATCTTGCCTTTACAGCGACGTTAAACCCCTAACAAGCAACCAACACCTTCTGTCATTCCATCCAGATGACACCAGCCCCCCCTCCCTTTTCATAATAATATTATGTTGTAGACCTACACTTTTCACCCTAGGAAGGTGTACTTTGATGCCCCCCTCCCCTAAAAGTTTGAAGAAGTCACTGAAGATCAGGCCGTCTGTAATTAGTATTTAGAAAATAGCTTGCAGTTTTCATGCGTATTCCCACCTCAACGCCAAGGTAGGCCTATGTGATACAACGTGAGAGACCATAAATGATACCAAATTCACATGTGTGGAAAAACATTGCCGATTTGGTGTGTGATGTGACATCACTGTCATGAAATCAAATCACGTGGGTCAAGGTCAAGTCAGTCATATCAACGCTAGGTCTACGATAGGCCTAGATCTAGTGCATGAAATAACCCAATTCAATGAGTGGACTGGCGGACCTATTTGATGTAGATCTAACGACACAACATAATGTAAACCAATTTGAAAAAGAAAAAGAAAGATTGAAAAGTAGCCTAGCCTTATCCGGAAGTCCAAGTAGGGCCCTACAGGCTACGTAGTCTAAACAGCCGTATGCACTGCTCACCGTCGAACGCTCCGTATCCCGGACTCTAGCATGGAGATCATCAGGAGAGAATGCGTCGCTGTTTCGGGCTCTTCCTCTCTACAGCTTTTCTGACGCACCGAGCCCCCTCACCGATGTGAGGTCTCCATGTTAGTTCGACTGTTTTCCTCTGCTGCCAACTTTAGGATTCATTCCAGCTTGAGTCCTCTCGCTTCAACCAGATCCAATGACTGGCTTTCTCTGCTGTCTCCTGAAGGGAGTTTGTGAGTTCGTTGCTTTTCTTTGCAGTAAGTCCTGCCACTCTCATCCACTTACGGGCGCTTGTTGCTACAAAACCTCTGCATCCTACCTCTACCGGAAAATGGGTTGCCTTCCATCCTGCCTCCTCACATTGTTCGACGAGTGCCTCGTAACGGTTTTCTTTCCGCTCATGAGCGGCATAGATATTGTCCTCGTGGGGCACCGTGAGCTCTACCAAGTGTACCTCTTTGTCTTTTTCCTCCCATAACACAATGTCTGGCTTTTTCGTAGTTGGAATGGGGAAGAATCTCTCAAAGCCTTTTAAGTCAGCAGCTACTTCCCATGTGCCTCCGCTCTGGTCTTTCATGGCTTCGTTCGTTTTCTTTCTTTTGGCAACCTTGCTTCCTTGCGGAACGAACGCAATCTTGGTGGGTCCATGCTTCTGTATCTTGGGGGCATATTTTCCTTCTTCCACCTGTTGTGTCGCCATTTTCGTGAGCACTTTCAACACCTCGTTGTGTCTCCAGGTGTATCTGTTAAGAGCTAGGTTGCAGTTTGACAAAATATGCTTCATGGTTCCTAGCTTACCGCATCTACACTTGTTGTCCTCCTGTACCTTCCATCTGACAAGGTTCACCGGTGAAGGCAGAACATCATACGTAGACCGGAGAAGAAAGCTCAGCCTTGATGTATTCCACTTCCAGATGTCACTCCACCCGACTTTTCTTTCCACAACATGCTCTTCCCATCTGGTCATTTGTCCTTGCTGGCTACACTGGATGAGATGAATTTCTCGCCTCTCTGCCTCCATCTTTTGCATATGTCTTGTTGCAGCTTTTCTTCTGTCTCGCTGAGACATTTTCCTGAAAGGTCTAAAGTCGCCATTACCTAGCCCTAATCTGTCAGGTTGCGCTGGACCGACAATGTCCCCATGCTCCAATGCAGAGATGATCTCGTTAGCTGCAACTTCTGCCTTCCACTTTCTGGCTGTTTTGACATCTGGAGGTTTTCCACTGATCTCCTTATCCCTTGATTCTCTCAACATCAAAACGGTTCTAATCTTGCCTGCTTTGTAGATCTCCACAATTGACGTGAGAGGTAGTTGAAGCGCACCTCTATGTCTGTACAGGGATGACGTGTTAATGGTACGGGGTAGCCCCAGCCACTTCCTGATGTAGCTGTTACACTTTCTTTCGATCATCTCAACTCTTGACAAAGCAACTTCATACATTGTCAGTGGCCACGCCAATCGAGGGTAGAGGGCAAACTGTAGACACCATATCTTGTGCTTTCCTGGAAGCTTTGTCTGGTCAATTGCTTTCAGCCCATTTTCAGCCTGCTTCATGATTTCCACGCCTTGACTCCTATCAGACAGAGTTCCTGAGTACCACCGACCCAAACTTTTCACGGGTTGTTCTTTTACTGTGGGCATTTGCTCCCCTGCAATTGTGAACTTCAGTTGCTTCTGTTTTCCTTTGTTAATAGTCAGGCTTCTAGACTTTTTAGCTTTAAACTTCATCCTGGCCCAGGTGATAAGCTTATCGAGCCGATTCAACACACTTTGCATTGTGTCTCCATCTCTTGTCAGTAGGGTCACATCATCCATAAAGGCTTTCTTTGGTGATCTCACCTTTGCTTCTTCTTCACAGCATTCTGCAGATCTCAGTAGCATCTCCATTACCAGGATGAACCAGATGACCGATATAGAGCAGCCAGCTGCAATCCCAATCTCTAGTCGGTGCCATTCCGTTGTGAAATTTGCGGTTGAGAATCGCATCTGGAAGTTACTATAGTATTCTCTCATAATGTTTTGCACCTCTTGTGGGACGTAGAAAAAATCCATTGCCTTCATCAGCAATTTATGGGGAACAGACCCGTAGGCATTCGCCAGATCCAACCACACTACGTTTAAACTTTCCTTGTTTTTCTTGGCCTCTTGGATTGTGTCCCAAATGGTGAAAGCATGCTCGATGCAGCCTGGGATCCCTGGTACCCCGGCTTTCTGTACCGTTTCATCCACATAGCCGTTACTTTGCAAATATGCTACAGTCCTCTTTGCAAGTATTCCCATAAAGATCTTGCACGTCACGTTGATGATTGAAATAGGTCTGAACTGTCCTATCTCCTTTGCATTCTGTTCTTTGGGTAGATACACGCCCTCCGCTCTGCACCAATCTTTGACGATTTCTTTGTCTTTCCAAAGGCCTCTTAGCATCTCAAAGAGGGTGTGTCTCAGCGTGTCGCAATACTTGAACACCTTATAAGACACGCCATCTCCTCCAGGTGCACTTTTTGCTCTTGCTTTTTTACGAACTCATCTACTTCTTTCTCTCTAATTGGTCCCAGGTAATATTTGACGACGGGGGCAGCTGGACGCTTCAGGCCTCTCATATAAGGAAGCGGTTCTTCTCTTCTTGAATCGCTGTACGTCTGCTTAACATAAGCATCGAGTTCCTCTTTCGTACATTCCAATTTACCACTCCGTGCCTCTGTGAACAGTTTTTTTGCTGCTTCATAAGGATTCTTCAGAAATTGTTCACGTTCCCTTTTTCTCTCTTTTCTCCTGGTACACCTTCTTTCGTGCCTCTGTAGGTCTCTGCTCTTTTTCTTAAGATCTTCAAACAAGATTCTTAGGCCTTCTATCTCTTCTGGTGGTGCGTACTTTTTCTGCTTTTGCAAGTCTCGTTTCTGTTTTCTTAGCTGTGCAAGTACTCTCTGCCTTCTACTCAATCCACTTTTCTTCTCCGTCTTTTTCTTTCCTTCACAAATACCAAACTCTTTTATTGCCGAGTCATAGATAATGGTCGCAAACGCACTCAATATTTCTTTAGCATCCCCTCTGTTAGAACTCTTTTTGACTTCTTTCAATTTCTTCTGGACTTCTTCTTCTAACGTCTTGTATTTTGCCTTCTCGTTAGCAGCAGGCCACAGTATTCTGGGTTTCCGTAACCCTGGTTCCGTTTGCTGTTCCATCTCTTGCTGGGACAGGGTGAAAGGAGAGTCGACTGAAGCACTAATCGCTCCGCTGTGGTTTTCATCCTGGGATGATTTGCTTCGCGTCTTACAATCTGACGATCTGCACTGTCTTCTCTTCTTTAAACAGACTTTTCCCTGGTGCACTCTCAGCCCTCGCCAGGTATCGAACTTTCTGTAGCACTGCTCGCACATAAAGCTGTTCTCTTGATTCTCTTTCTGCATTGTCCTTTTAACGCTTAGGTCATTGTCCATTGAATCCGTCCTTGTGGATCCATCCTCTACTCCCCCCTCTCGGTGGATCCCGGGGCTGTCTTTTCTATTGGTTGACGTAACTTATATTTACAGTGACCTGGGTAGTTAGCCCCTGCCACCGTCGGTCTTTCCCGACGTCCTCGGTCTTTCCCTATGTCCACCCGTCACTCCGGGTTGTCGTCCTGTCTTTCCAGGATGTCCGTAGCATACACCTGCTACTGGTAGGTACGTAGTCTAAACAGCCGTATGCACTGCTCACCGTCGAACGCTCCGTATCCCGGACTCTAGCATGGAGATCATCAGGAGAGAATGCGTCGCTGTTTCGGGCTCTTCCTCTCTACAGCTTTTCTGACGCACCGAGCCCCCTCACCGATGTGAGGTCTCCATGTTAGTTCGACTGTTTTCCTCTGCTGCCAACTTTAGGATTCATTCCAGCTTGAGTCCTCTCGCTTCAACCAGATCCAATGACTGGCTTTCTCTGCTGTCTCCTGAAGGGAGTTTGTGAGTTCGTTGCTTTTCTTTGCAGTAAGTCCTGCCACTCTCATCCACTTACGGGCGCTTGTTGCTACAAAACCTCTGCATCCTACCTCTACCGGAAAATGGGTTGCCTTTTTGTTACTTTTTTTTATTCGTCAGAGAACGTAAACAGCTTGTATACGTTTTCTATCGTTAGAGAACGTAGACACTTTCTATAGATACAGGGTGATCCCAAAAAAACTTTACAACTTTTTTTCTGAATATCTCGCGCAAAAATTGTTCTAGAATGCTGTGAATTGGAACAGATATAATTAATTCAAAACGAATTTGTTTGATATAAAATCCACGAAGAAGAAACAAGTTTTGAAAACGAAAACGCCTAAAAGATAAAAGCACCCAAAAACGCAAAGTTCACCAATGTTTCAAAATCTTGTTAAGGAAGTCGTGAAAAGATTAGTTGACCTTTTTCTTTATTTTCTCTTTGACATTAATTTTCCATCCCTGTGACATTTAAACAATATTTAATTTCTTTTGCAGAGTTTTAAAAACCTAATGATTTCATTTTGAAATTCCTAGAAGCAGTGCTCCACATTCCCTCCTTTGGACTCGACACATTTTTAACGCGACGTTCGAAATGGTCAGTGGCGCCCTAACACAAGGACCTGCTAAACCATGAGTTTTTAAAGCTTCATACACTGTACATGTTCACTAAGAAATGGCTTCTAGAGACAATAGAGTGGGGTGCCCAATAGACAGCATTTTTTAAGTTAACATATCCCGCAGGGTGAACATGGGCTTTGCACTAAACCAAATGTCATCGAGGAAATGATCCCTCTTTACTAGACAATCGAGGAATCATGAACACATTGCCATGCTTTGATTCATGTCATCTCTGCCTAGCGAAGATGAACATGGTATGGTCAAAGGTTAAGATCTGCCATGAGAATGCAGACTGTTGATGTGTAGGAAAGTCCTAGCTGTAGATCGTCTACGGACAGACGTCTCATGGGGCTGGGCTACTGAAATCTGCACTCTGGTGACGTTTGAAGGGCTGCGTATGGTGCGTGTTCGACCTGAAGCGGTCATGTTTTAAAGAACTTTTTAGTTCTGATTCGCTATAGATCCAAACTGACGGAACTTCTCTACTCATGACGCCAAAGGTCTTGAGGGCACCTAAGCATTCTCTCCATGCCGTGCGCAGAACTTACGAAATGTCAGGGATGGTGAGTTTGTGGAGAGGTAATGTTCAATACAAAAAGCTGTCTGCTCTTTACTAAACGTAACCCTGATCAAAGCAGGCGAACAAAATTTGGGAAAAATAATATCTGCAGACTTGTGTGGACTTGTTAGACTGCTGTAGCTTGCAACATGGCGCGATTGTTGCAACTTTCAGTGGTAGGCCTAATGCGAACTGGTGCGTCATGCTATGAAAATGGCGACGAGGTTGAAAATGGGTTGTTTTTTTAATGCGCTTTATAGAGCAAAACCATTCAATGGACTTATCTAAAATACATATCAGACAAATTCCTTTTGGCTTCCAAACCTTATGTTCAAATCTGAACCGCAAAACTTCAGTATGGAGGAAGATATTAAAAAAACAAGTTGTAAAGGGTTTTTTTGGATCACCCTGTATATATATATATAAAAACAAGCCAGAGCAACTCAAATTTTCCCTGGGGGAAAACTATAAATGTTGTACCTGTATATCATTTTATTTATTTCTTATAGTCCAAGTATATACATCCCAGTTCACATTTCAGGAATGAAAAAAGATAAACATTTCTAAATAGGCATACATCTAAATTAATTAATGTAATATAAAAATATAATAATAAACATCATATCAAGTATACTTTGGTTTATTAACAGATTCCAAAAAATCAACAACAAAGAAGATGACTTTCGACATCTTGAGTTCATATGAAGACAACAGAAAAACGAACACAAACATGATATATAACTCAGAAAAGGGAGGGGGGGAGGGGTAGAGCAAAAGCTCAAAAGAAACAAGGAAAGAATCCAGAGTTCCATCAGGACTTTTCTAGGAAAATCAACTAGAGATTATCAGCTGAAAACTGAACCCAAGGTCAACGACTAGAACTTTTGATACAGTAAGTGTGTGGTAACTGCATAACGTCATAATATGAGCACCAAGGGGGGGATGTTAACAGAGAAGTCCAAACTGGGAATCAGGCTTATTCTGCTCACCTCTCTAGCCTCAACAGCACAAAGTCTGCTTCGACTATCAAGGCACCCCGGAAATAGCTGATCACAAGAGAGTGACAAACATACAAAAGAAGTAGAGGAAAACATGACGATAGTAAGGATGAGGAAAGAAAAAGTAGCTGTTTCCCCCTATGTTGTTCCGGCACAGTGTGAGCATGACATTGATAAATCAGCCCATTTACAATTCTACAGTGTTTAAGAACAAGTTAATATCTCCCCTTGGAGAATGGCCTAAAAACACTTCAGTCAGTAGCACTGCCCTGGGGGGGGGGGGGGGGGGGGAGACAAAAATGTAAGGAAAAAAGTAAGTACTCGTACAATTGTATTTTTACAATAAGCCTCCCTCTTCAAATACACAGAAGAAATATAAAATACGTCTAAATATAGGTACAGTCGTCAAAATAGTCGAAACTGACTATATATTTGTCATAAATGACAGCATGGCACACCCTGGAAAAGGCATCAACAAAGATCTGAGTAAAATGTGATGGTCTTGTTTCTTTAATCTTTACCATCCCACAGAAAACAGTGCAAGAGGAGGCATCACCACTGAGAAAGTCGACCAAGACTTTGTATACAGATGAGATGGGAACAAATGGTCGCTTTTAAGCACAAGGGGGCTATCTAGCAAAATGCTGTTTTGAGAAAAGAGAAGGTAAAGTTTTTGGACCCTTGTTCAGTTTCTTTAAAAGACAAGGAGGGTTTACTTTGTAACCAAACAAATATACACATCAATGAAACCAAACTTCTCCTACAGGTAGGGCAAAGCCCACTTTTGTTGTAGGTCAAGATTTCTGGAAATTCAGGAAATCCCCGAAATTTGGGTTGGCCCGCTAGTCCTTAAAAGTGACCATATACAGCCTAGCTGGCACATAGCGAAACTGACAGGATGCAGAAATCTTTTCATTGTGTAGCAATAGTAATTTATTTTGTGATCTGTACGAATTTCAAGCGAAATATCAAGGGAGGTAGATAGCAACGGACAACTGGATCCAAATATTTCCATGAATTATGTCTCTTATGCCCCCACCCTGTTGTGTTGGGTTTTTGGTAGTGGCGGGTGGTTCCTGATTACTGCAAACAAGGAATCGTAGGAATCGAGTCCGAACCTAATTTCTTAATCTGTGTTGTGATAATTTCTTCCGGGTATCCATGATTTCTTCCAGGTGTCCATGATTTCTTCCGGGTATCCATGATTTCTTCCAGGTGTCCATGATTTCTTCCGGGTATCCATGATTTCTTCCGGGTGTCCATGATTTCTTCCGGGTGTCCATGATTTCTTCCGGGAGTCCATGATTTCTTCCGGGTATCCATGATTTCTTCCGGATGTCCATGATTTCTTCCGGGTATCCATGATTTCTTCCGGGTGTCCATGATTTCTTCCGGGTGTCCATGATTTCTTCCAGGTATCCATGATTTCTTCCGGGTGTCCATGATTTCTTCCGGGTGTCCATGATTTCTTCCGGGTGTCCATGATTTCTTCCGGGTGTCCATGATTTCTTCCAGGTATCCATGATTTCTTCCAGTGGTTCCGACCCCTAGTCAATTACATGATTACTGCCGGCAAAGAAGCAATTATTTCTTTTACTTCCGATAAATCCAACATCTAGCCAGTTCCGGTTACTTATTCCGCTTCAAGCAGATTTAGGATCCACGGTAAACTCGATTTCGAAACACACGAGGCACTAACATTTTTCTTTTCAAAAATAAGTTTAAAAAAAAAAAGAACATTTTAATAATATTATGGTAACCGTTGGTCATGTAGAAAAGAATCGGAACTTTTCCTCTGTAGCACTAACCGCGGGAATCGGTTCAGGAATTGATTCTTTGCCCAGTTTTAGTATTTGCCATTGATTTTTCCATCCTCATCCAGTACTGGCCGCTGTTCCTCGAACTAGAAACCTTTCTGCTTCTTTTGCTCCGGCACGGTCCATTCTCCACTACAACTTCACACAGACATAAGATAAGATCCTGGCACATTGGTTTGGTGTTTCACCAACCACGTACACACACACACACACACACACACACACACACACACACACAAACATGCACACACACTAAGACTTCCAGTCACATGCATATATAAATGAACAGCAATATAAACAATAATAATTTAAAGCTGGATTACAACTCAATGTCATTCTGATGCATGCTCTTATTCATGCACCGAGGGGTGGATGTCAACGGAGAAGTCCAAACAGGGAATTAGGCTTACTCTGCTCACCTCTCTAGCCTCAACAGCACAAAGTCTGCTTCGACTGTCAAGGCACCCCGGAAATAGTGGGTCACAAGAGAGTGACAAACATACAAAGGAAGTACAGGGAAAACGACAATGGTAAGGATGAGGAAAGAAAAAGCAACAGTTCCACCTATGTTGTTCCAGCACAGTATGAGCATGACATTGATAAATCAGCCCATTTACAATTCTACTGTAAATGAGAAAATGTTAATACCCCCCCATTTGGGTATGGCCAAAAGACACTTCAGTCAGTAGCACTGCCCTGGGAGGGGGGGATGGGAGAGGGTGACAGAGGTTGAAGGCTCCAGTGGTCAGCTGACAGGTCAGAGGTTGTGGGTTCAGTGGTCAGTTCCCAGGTCACAGAGGTTGTGGGTTCAGTGGTCAGTTGGCAGGTCACAGTGGTCGTGGGTTCAGAGGTCAGTTCACAGGTCACAGAGGTTGTGGGTTCAGTGGTCTGTTCACAGGTCACAGAGGTCGGGGTTCAGTGGTCAGTTCACAGGTCACAAGAGGTCGCGGGCTCAGTGGTCAGTTCCCAGGTCACACAGGTCGGAGGAGAGGCTGCACGAGTACCTCGTTGACGGCCACATGGCTCGGCTGAGAGGCAGCGTACACCACGGCGCGGGCCACATCTTCTGCGTCCAACACCTGTACCTCTGTGCTCTTGTCGTACAGCTCTGCCGCCTGTGTGAGGAGGAGATGAGTGGACGGTGTGGAGAACAATCTTCTTCTTTGTTGGTCTTTATTCAAGTACAGTAGCAATGGTGTTACAAAGGTCATATGTGAGGCAGCATGGTGAAATCAGGGGCTCGTCAAAATCATGAAATTGAAGACAATGGCAGTTAGACAATTTTTATCGAATTTTTGTTTTTTGGCTCAATATACTTTATGTAAATTTAAAAAGATATTTCTGTGTCGATTTTACAGGAAAACATTGATCAAAGGCACAAAAATGTAAATTTGCAGTTTCCAAGTTCTTTCAAGCTTAGGAAGTTGCCAGCCTTTGACGGCCATTTTCTCGCTAATTTTACCTCTGCTACCAGGCAACCTCTACCTCCTTCAAAAGCAAATATCTCCACTTCTATTTAAGGCAAATGGATATTTTTTTCACCGAAAGCAAGGCAAAAGAATAACCTTTAAGATGATACTAATAACTCCATTTGCTCAAAAATTGATGAGCGCTTGATTCCACCGCGTCGTGACACATATTATGCATCGTTTAGGTCCTATTCGCAGGAATCATTTGAAATGAAAGCACATGTATATATTTTGAGTGTTTCAGTCACCTGGTCATTTGACCTGATGTGACAGCCTAGAGCAGATTAAGGTACACTTTTGTCAGCAGGACATGATAGACAATGAACACTGGGTCCCCCCCCCCCACCCCGGGCAGTGCTACTGACTAAAGTGTCTTTAGGCCATTCCCAAAGGGGGGATATTAACATGTTCTTATGCACAGTAGAATAGTAAATGGGCCGATTTATCAAAGTCATGTGGCCTCTACTCTGCCAGGGGTGAAAGACACTGATGACAGATGATGAGACTCGCCCAGAAGAAGTGATGGGTCGTGTCAAAATGGCTAAAGTAGGGTAATCTTTGACGTAGGAAAGAGGGGTGGTGGAAGAAAAGAGTCAATGCGATACGGACCAGCTGGTGACAAAATCTCTACAGTATACTCACACATGCAGCGTAGTAAACCTGACCAGAGAAGTTAACGGATTTACAGCATATACCTTGGTATCAATCGGAGCCTTCAGGACTCCAGGAGTCACTACATCACCAGGCGGGACAAAATCTACACACTACTCTACAGTATCGAATAAGCGCCCCCCTGCCCCGTTTATTAATTTTCAATTTTTTAGCGCACCCCCCACCCCCT